TTCATTACGTTTTACGTCTTAAGGCTTCTCACCAAGCCATAAGCCCTTAATCATATGATTCTGACTCACACTAATTAATTACAGAAGTTCAACTTCCTCAAACTAGGGTGCACAAACCCATAGATCAGTTCTGGATGAACAGTACACTATTGTTCCTCACAAACCCAGAATATCCGGATATTCCTCGGGGGCATATCCGGATATGCAATATCCGGATATCTCTCTGGAAATATCCGAATATCAATATCCGGATATCCAGATCCCCATATCCGGATATCCAATATCCGGATATTTTACGAGCAGATATCCAGATATTTCGCGACAGAAAGCAGTTTCTGCATTTCGCGAAGATATCCTTCCAAGGTTCCATTTTTAACACTTCCAAAAGCTTAAACATGCGTTTTTGTTTGGGGCTTCGCCCCTTAATGTTATCAAAAAAAAAAAAAAAGCTTAAACATGCATCTTAAGGTCCATTTACGTTCATATGACAATTGGTTACTTGTTTAATCCATTAAACATACCAAGACATCACCTTTAACCCATAAAAACCCATGATCAAGGTTGTACAACTCACCAAGGTTCAAAACAAAGGCAAAGGGCTGCTCTTGGAGCTCACAACCAGCTCCCAAGGTTCTGACTTGAACACCAAACGAAAATGCCTTCACAAAGGTTGGTTCTTTCACACCAAAGGTCACCACTTGGACCTCAAAATGCCATGACCATGGCTCAACTACACCAAATCCCAAAGTCAGCACCCAAAGGCCCTCAAGACAGCCCACCAACTCAGAAATGGAGCTCACAACACACCACCCAAGTATTTCCCACTCACCCAAGGTGTTTTGGAGAAGAAACCAAGGAGAAAGGAAGCTCTTTGGCTCACAACAATGGAGGAGAAGGTGGCAAGATGGTGGCTGACTCAAGACTCAGCAAAACTCACGTAGGAGGCAACAATTTATGACCTAGGATCATGTGCACTAAGCTTATATAGTCGCTTAACCAATTAACACATAGTATTAACTTTAATTGCTACGCTTAGCATTTTAATCCCAAACTTTGGATTCTTAACCTACTCAATTTTACAAGAATTATCATATTTTTCTTATAATTTTCGGAGCACCTTTCTGGTACGCGCTTTTCATAGCCAGTACCAGTTTCTAGCACCAGTTCTTATTATTTTGACTTGAAACTCGTTTTACAAGTCCTACATATCATTCTAGTAATTATCATGCACTTATCATAATTTTTTGGGATACTTTTTCGGTACGCATTTATACCGACTAGCAGAATCGGTATCTGCACTTTTCTTCCGAAAAATGACTTTTAGCATTCTTAATCACTTACTATAATTATTAAAGCCTCATAATAATTATTAGGGTCAATTATGGAATTATTTCCTAATTTCACATAATTAATTAATTAACTTCCTTAATTAACGGTGCGAGTTCTTACATCTCCATTCTGGAAGTAGCACTCACAATTTGAAGGAAATAAAAGAATTTTCTCAGTGGCCACTTAAAGTTGGGGATGGTGATCTTGGAGATGATGATGACAGAGAACCTATTATAATAATTTCAGATGAATTGTTGATTAGAGAATCAGAAGATCCGCTTTCGGATATAGTTGATTTTGTTTATCCGAATCTCTTAGATAATATTTTAGATCCTACGTTCTTCAAAGAACGTGCTATTCTAACTCCTAAATTGTCCAATGTTGCTATGTTGAACGAGCACCTAATGTCTATGATTCCTGGTGAAGAAAGGACATTTTTGAGTTCAGATAAAATTCTGAAGCAAGATGTGACTTCCTCCGTTGATGATGAGGAATTCACACCTGAGATCTTAAATACATTATCATGCTCGGGGATTCCGGATCATAAATTAACCTTGAAGATTAAAGTTCCAGTAATGCTATTAAGAAATATTGATCAGTCCAGAGGTTTATGTAATGGCACAAGATTGCTTATTACAAAATTGGGGAATCATGTTGTTGAGGCAATTGTTCTTACAGGAAGCAATATAGGTGAAACTGTGTTAATCGCTAGAATGACAATGAGCCCCTCAAGTCATACATTTCCTATCAATTTTCAAAGAAGACAATCCCCCCTAATTGTTTCGTTTTCCATGACTATCAATAAGAGTCAAGGACAATCTCTTTCTCATCTTGCAATTTATCTCCCTATGCCTGTCTTTACTCATGGGCAATTATATGTGGCACTGTCTAGAGCAAAGAGCAAACATGGATTGAAGATATTGATATTTGATGAAAATGGTTGTGTTACAAATAGTACCCTTAATATAGTTTACAAGTAAGTATTTCAAAGATTACTGTAGTATATTTGGTTCTATCTACAAGGAGATAACATCGCTGTTTCGAACAGGTAAAGACAAAAAAAAAATTGCAAGGGAGTCCTTTTTTACTTATCTTCGTTGCCATTTGGTTTGACGTTCAATTTTTTTAACTGCTAATTTTTTTTTGTCATGTAAGATTCGTATTTCATGCACAATAGGTATACTGTTAACTGCTATTTTTGAACAAATTGTATTTCATGGTCATCAAAACACTGATGTATTATTATAAACCTTTTGATTTGTACTCACATATTCATGTTTTTTTCCTCATACTTTTGTTCACATATTATTAATCATTGATTTCTAAGAGGAGGAAGGATCACAAAGGAAGGTTCAGCATCTTTCTTATTACCTTCATGTCAAGCACAACATTTAAATATATTTTGTTCACATCTTGCGTGATTATGTTTATTATGCTTGACCTTATTGCAAACATGTAATATAGAAACACTGTTATATGTTCTGATCATCTCTGGGAAATATTGAAAGAAGCTGAATGAAACTTTATAATTTTGAATGACCACGTGACAAATATAAAATGCAGCAGTATACTTTTATATGTTGCATTAGTTTTTACAAGACAAACAAACTGATTTTTATTTTTTCTCTGTGCAACGCACGGGTAATACACTAGTATAATAAAAAAAACATAACCCGTATATATTTTAACTTATATGATATGATAGATTAATTTAAAGTTAAGGAGTATATATATATATATATAATTAATTAATATATATATATAATTAATTAGTTAATTAATAAGAGTAATCCAATAAATTGTAACTTTAATTTTATTGAAATCAACAGTTAAGATTTGATGTCAAATTATTTAGCTTGATATCGGTGTCAAAGAATAATGCCCCTATATCGCTTCATATTCTCAATAAATTATAACCGTCAAATTAATGGAAATCAACTATTAAGGTTTGATGTCAAATTAATAAGAATAACCCAATAAATTGTCACTTTAGATTCACGAAAATCAATAGTTAAGATTTGATATCAACAATTTTAGCTTGATATCAGTGTGAAAGTATAATGCCCTTATATCGCTCCATATTCTCAATAAATTATAACTGTCACATTGACGAAAATCAACTATTAAGATTTGATGTCAAATTAACCCCTGTAACTTTAAATTCACAAAAATCAACAGTTAATATTTGATGTCAAATTTTTTAGCTTGATATCGGTGTCAAAGAATAATGCCCCTATATTGCTTCATATTCTCAATATTATAATCGTAAAATTGACAAAAATCAACTATTAAGATTTGATGTCAAATTTTATGATTTGTCACTAATATCAAATAATAACGTCCTTTGGGAGGAGTTTAAAGCCTTAAACCTGGACGCGTCCCGAATCGGATTAGTCGTGAAGCGATGAACCGATTGGAATATTTCTAAAAAAAAATGAAAATAATAATGTCCACACACACATATAGATATATATATATATAAAGTGATGTGAGCAAGGTGTGAGTTTAATTTTTTCTTGAAATTTTTGAATTTTTCTTTTCTAAATATGTTTGACTAACCCCTTGATAGGGGTGTTCATCAACCGATTCAAACCGCGATGACCGAACCGAAAAATCGGTAACCGAATATCGAAAAACTTGGATTGGATCGGTTTTCGAATGGGTTGATGAAAACCGATCTAATCCAAACCGATTCAATATATTAATTATCCTCTACCTACTTGGTCATTCCCTCAATCATAACTAAAAAATTTCTAAACTCAAGATCCATTAACCCATCAACTAAACCAAAAAAAAAAAATGTAGCTACATCTTATCAACAAAATTCCATCTGTGTAGAGCTTCATGTCTCATTGCCCAAAAAAAACTATATTATCGTTTACTGATATTTTTGTATTTAATTTTTTTTACAAAGCCAATATATACAAAAGATGTTATTTGCACAATAATCATGAAACTAATTTTCAAATTTTTAAAAAATCGAAAATCGATCCAATCTAAATAAAAAAATGAATTAGATCGGATCGGATTTGAAAAAAAATCCAAACCGAATGAATAATCACATAATCAAACCGAAGGAATTAGATCAAATGATTTTTACTTTCAAAATCGATCCAATCCAGACCGCAAACATCTCTACCCCTTGAGGCGAATGTATACAAGTTTAATATTATTAAAAAAAAAAAAAATATCTATCCCGACCTAGCTGCTACAGTGAGAAGGGAGAAGATTCTCTGCAAGATTCTACTTGGTCACGTTCACTCGAATTACTCTAATATATAATAACTAAAATACGTTATTCAAATTACGGAATTCCATAATTAACATATTCCATCAAATCTATTAAGATAGTATAATTCGAATTCAAAAATTGATATTATCTTTAAATAAGTAAATAACTACTGATAAGATAATATTGTTAATTTTAAACAACTAAATTAAAGATAAAACACAGCATATGACTATTTATTATGTGAAACGGAACTTGTACATAGACGAAAAAGGATTTATTATGATTGTTATCTTTTTTATTTTATGTTTTTTTTTTTAAAAAAAGATTAGGACAGATTGGGTAGTTTAGTAAAAGAGAAGGGTAGTGCAGGTAATTTGAACTGGGCAGAAACCCTGGCCTATAAATAAGAGTTGCACGCTGCTTTTCAAACCCTCTTCACTCTCTTGTCGCTCCGTAGCTGTGTTCCACCGCACGAACCGTCTTGTAAGGAGCGATCAGAGAGAAACTCTGCAAACATGTTGGTTTACCAGGATATGCTTACAGGTAACTAATCGCGCACCTTCTTCTTCCAATTTCCAAATCCTCTTTTCTTTCATCGTCGCTTCTCCTTATTGATCTACAAACGCTGAATTATTCGTTGTCTTATCGTATTTTAATTCACTCATGTTGTTAGATCTGTTTGAATTGCGCATCCAATTATGATTTTCAACTATTCAATTTTTGTTACCTTTTGGATCTGGCACTTTTCTTTTTGGTTCAGTTGATGACCGCATATCTATGTTGCTTGGATCTGGCGTTATTTTTTACTTGCTCTTTAATTACGATTTTTTTATTGCTCTTATTAATGTAAGAATTCACTTCTCTATTGTGTCGTTTATTGTTTTATCTGTTTTTATTTGATTTGATTCTCTCCGAAGTTAATATATACGTATAAGTACTTCAGTAAATACCATTTTCGGTCCGGCAAATTATTTCACGATTTTCGCTCTAGTCCTTGACAAATAAAAAATAGACTCATTTTAGTCCTTTTGAAGGGAAATTTGTGAAGATCACGAATAACCTTTTTATTTATTAGGATTAAAGCGGGCATAGTAAAATCTGCTGAGGATCAAAAAGAGTATTTACACTGAATACTTTAATTTGTGTGAGATCGGGGAAACCTTTCTAATTATGGGGACGCGTGTCAGTCAAGGATGGTGAATTCAGGGGGCGTTTGGTACAGGAGAAATTTTTATTTGTCCGAGAATCTCAATTTTTAAAAATATGATTTTTACATTCAGTTTACGATAATATCCGGAAATTTAAAATTTAGAAAAATTCAATTTCCCGGGAATCCGGCTAAATGGCGTATACCAAACGTCCCCTCAAAGTTTATATTTGAAAGGTGGTTTTCAAAGATTCGTGATCTAGCTTACAATTTTATATTTGGTATAGCTGCGTTGCTGCAGCTTGGTTATTTTCGTCTGTTTTTTGTTTTTATGTATGATTAATAAAATATAATTTATGAAGGGGTTTTGTATTCTTTGATCCTTTTGTTATATATCTGCTTTTTTTGTGTTTTTATTCTTTATCTTTTTGATATGTTGACATACTTTTTTGTTAGAAGTATGTAATAGTTGAATAGATGGAGTAACATTAACCATGTTTTTGTAGGTGATGAGCTTCTCTCGGACTCCTTTCCGTACAAGGAAGTTGAGAATGGAATGTTATGGGAAGTTGAGGGGAAGGTTAGTTGAATGCTGCCCATTTGTCTGGATTTTCTTGTTTATGTGTTAGATGTTGATTTTGCAATTTGCAAGCAATGTTACTTCATTTTATATTTAGTTGTTTGAACAATTTTTGAAGTAGTTTTGTTACTCTGGCTAACATGCTAAAAACTATATCCTTTTTGTTTGCAGTGGGTTGTTAAAGGAGCACTTGATGTAGACATTGGTGCAAACCCTTCTGCTGAAGGTGGAGAAGACGAGGGTGTTGATGACCAAGCTGTTAAGGTTGTTGACATTGTTGATACATTCAGACTTCAGGTTAGGGCAACTATACACCCCTATTTTTTTAGGCTCAACTTAAGTTCAGATGATAATTATTTTCTTATTTAATTCTTGCAGGAGCAACCTGCTTTTGACAAGAAGCAGTTTCTTGTTTTCATTAAGAGGTATATTAAGTTGTTGACACCCAAACTTGACGAAGAGAAACAAGAGCTGTTTAAAAAGAACATTGAGGGAGCAACCAAATTCCTGCTCTCTAAGCTCAAGGATCTTCAGTTGTAAGTTATTGCGCACACACATGGAGATGGATCCGTTGTTTTCTGGGTTTTTTACATGCTATCCGTTATTATCATTTAATTTTAGTGCCTAGTGAAATCAATGCAAACTATTTTGTTTTCTGGGTTTTTTTATGCTATCTGTTATTATCATTTGATTTTAGTGCTGAGTAAAATCAATGGACACTAATTTGAAGTCTTCTGTACAGTTTTGTTGGGGAGAGCATGCATGATGACGCTAGCTTGGTCTTTGCCTACTACAAGGATGGTGCTGCTGATCCAACATTTCTGTACTTTGCTTATGCTTTGAAGGAGATCAAGTGCTAAGTGACGTACTTAGTACAATGTACTCGGTTATCTACTCCCAATTTATCTAGTTTTCCTTTTGCATTCTGTACTAAGTTATTTGAGACTCGGTATTTTGATTTAATAGAGAGACCGTTTATGCTTCATTATCATTCCCAACAAATTTTATTATCGTTGGATTGGAATTCATAAATGTATGATTCTTTTTGTGCTAGATGGGTTTGTCAGTTGTTTCTTTTGCAGACTTGTGGGGTTTGAATGCTGGAAACATTTTAGTTTGTCCTCATGGCTTTATAGCGAGAACAATTTACCAGGCCTTAAGAATTTAAGACGTGTTAAAAAAAAATTAATTGAGCTGGGATAAATTTTAAATTTTGGAGAAACTTACATTGAGAATTCTAGTTACTCGTGTTTGGTATAATAATTTCTGGGAAAATGAGATTTTTGGAAATTAAAATTATGAATGAGAATTTCATGAAATAATATTACTAGAGGGTGGTATTATTGAATTTTTACATGGTGAATTTTTGTAACATAATTTAAGATATAAATAAAATTCTGTTTTAATATTTTTATAATTAAAATACCTTGTTTTGTTAAAGTCCTTACTCTGCGTCACAAAATTGTGGGTCCTCTCTTCTTTTCCAGATGTCTTTACTCTCTTCTTTTCATGATGTCTTTACTCGTTTCTTTCTATTGACAATTAATCAAATATAAAATCAGAAAACTTGAATCAATATTTCTGTGAATATTTTGACTTATCAAATAAGTTTTTGGTAGTATTTTTGAAAAATTCATTTACTAGAATATTTTCGAGAATTGTGATTTCTAGAAACAATTTTTTTTTCTTTTACCAGATATCTTTTTAGATCATTCCAATTCGATTCAGACTTTCAATTTAGGAAACCCTTTTTTCAAATTTAAAGTGGTTTGACTAGAGCACAGTCATATGGATAGGTTTAAAAAGAAAGCAAAAGTACCTAAGTGCTAATGAATTGAGAAGTGAATCTTAGTTAATATAATTATATCATAGGGGAGAATTATAATTATTTATGAATAAATCAATGGTAATGATTTTGTTATTTTGTTATTTTAATATTTTTTTCTTTTATTTTCATTAATGCTAATTTGTTCATGAATGATTAAGATTTTTTCATATAATATGATAATGTTAATTAATATATGAGATGATTGAAATAGTTCTTCTATGTTATACGGTTGCTAATGTTGTCAGATTTTGGTTATAAAACTTTCAACGCGCTACTGATCCGTAAAGGGCAGTATTACTGTCTTGGTTGAATAAAATTTGAAACATATAGACAGAATATCTAGTGTTGTCCCAAAAATTAAATTAAAAAAATTGACACTCTAATTGACCTGGCGAATATGTAGCGCGTGTGGTATCATGTCTCTTGCTAGAAGAGGGGACTAGGTGGTCTAAAAGAGGATGTAACTTTTATTATCATAATTACTTTTCTATACTTAAATGTGACATAATTATTATTTTAATTATTGTATACATGTATCCGGTAGTAGATCCAGAAAAAAAAAATTATGTTCGCACATTTAGTGGGGGGTTCGGGGGCCGCGTTTCCGAATTTTTTTTTTTGTAAAGAAAGTTTAAATCAACACCTAAACCCGCTCATAATCTAGTTGCTTCCATAACAAACTGCAGACAATAGTTTGACCAATTATTTTCTCTCTTAACAAAAAATTTGAACCCCACTTAGTCCATTATAAAACAAATTAGTCATCTGGTCCCTATGAAATTCAAAGTGGACCCATTTTGATCTTTTTGAGGGACTAATGTAGGTTTTTTTTGACTTTGTGAGGGACTACGATTTTAATTAAATTGATCCACTTTAAATTTTTTAGGGACCTCGAGACTATTTTTTTTTTTTGTAAGAGACTAAAATGAAGACTATATTTTTTGCTAGGGACTTACAAGGATATTTACTCCTAATATATATATATATATATATATATATATATATATATATATATATATATATTGAATCAAGAGACAAATAAGGATCTCCAACCAATAAAAAAAAATTGGAATCCAGAATTTTATGTCCGCAAGCCCGCAAGTGGGTCCGCCACTGTATTTCAAAAGACGGTATTTAGAATAGTTTAAGTAAAAAACAGTGCAGGAGTATATAATGTTCCGGACAAGTATATTCTAGCATCAATTACATTTTCCGGACTTACCTTCCACGATAGTTGAGCCCAAGGAATATCAAACATAATTTTAGGGGGCGTTTGGTTGAGGAGAAATTTTTTGAATACTAGAGAAATGTAATTGATAGGGAAATGGTTGGAAAGTGAGTTTGGTAGGAAAATGTAAAAAAAGTTGTTTGATTGGAAAAAATTTAACTGGGCAAATTAGGTAAGATTTATAAAATCTATGTTTGGTTTGAGGTAAAATATTGATGGGAAAATTGATGTAAATTACAAAAGTGGGCATTTAAATTTTTTAACAAGAAAAAAAATCGGCAAATAGCAATGAATCATATTAAAAAATCATTTTCATTCACAATGAATTTGTGCCTTTCAATACCTGAACTACCATCTACCCCAAAGCCAAAATCAACATTTTGATTCCCCTTTTTCTTGGCCTCTTCTTTTGAAGCATATTTCCCCGTCATGCACACATCTTCGCCGTGTATAAATCATCGTCCCAACAAAGTCTGGAACCTTTTCATCATTATCATGGTCTCCATCTCTGGGAGCACTCCACTGGAATATATGTCTGTGCAATATCTTTCAGGTTACCAACAATGGGTTTGTACGTTAGCCATTAATCAAGCCACTGACAGTAAGATCATCCAGCTCTGCAACCACATCAAGGGTTATTTTCGTCCACAGTTTTGCCTCATTATTTCGTTCCCCAGCTAAACACAAAATACCACCATGTGTGTGGTTTTCTGGAATAGTGATAAACATCAAATTTCACAAAGAAATCAGAAAGGTTGGGGAAACAGTTTGCCTACCTAAATTTTTTTCACTCGAGTACCAAACATGGTCAAACACAAAACCCAGATGAAGTTACCTAGGTATTTATACCAAAACCCTCTACCAAACACCCCCTTAAGAGAAATTCGTAGAATGGTATTTGCTATTGTAAGCAATCAAATTAACATGTCTAAAATGTACTTCCTTATTTAAAATAGGTGTATTTGTACAATTATTTATAACTTTACATGTCTTATTGACCAGTAAGTACTTCCTTCTAAGACATTTTTTATGTGAGCATACATATCATACACCTAATTTGACCAAGAAACGAAGCGAAAATAAATTTCCCAAAAAATGCCAGAGACAGCCCCATGTGCAGGGGCGTTTTGAGCAATCCGTTCTCTCTGGCTTCTATAGGGCAGCATGATGCTCCTTTAGTTCTCAAATTTTGACACAAGGTAGTTGACATCTCAAGCTTTACAATGGCGTATGGAACGTCCCTATTGGACCTTTGTGGAGGGAGACATGCTCTCCCAAAGTTCACCCAAATTCTGCCAATTTCTAGAAATTTCGCCAGAGTCTCCTTTGTTTTTTCAATAAATACCACCTTTAAAGGTGTGTTATCTAACCTCAAATGGTACCTAATAAACATGGGTGGCACTCAAGGACTAGCAATGCTTTGGTGCTCTTACAACCCTTTACAATTTATATCAATGAGTTCAGTTTTCAACTTAACAATTTCAATATCAATTCTTAAACCATTTCAATCACATCAATTCCTTTGCATGCATTTCTTTGACATAAAACATAAATTAAATCCTAGAATAGGCCTATTGCCCTTTCAGCACATAGCATGCTTCAATATTACATAAAGTCTCCATAATACAATTTGCACCATCTCCAATGGACATATTACAATTTACATCATCTGCAATGGACATATTACAATTTACAACTTTAATTACAACACCATAAATCTCAAATGAAACATGATAATTAACAACTAAACTTAGCCAAAAAGTGACATGAACAAAATGACAATATGAATGATCCTAGTTCAACATAATGTTCATGTCCTAAGTCTAGCCTAGGTCATGTGACCCCAAAATGTAAAATCCACAATACGCCCATGAGCATCATCCTACGGGCCTCTTGCCCGTCGCTCCAACAGTACTGGCACTACCTGAAATAAAGTCCCCAAAACGGGGTGAGATATACGAATATATCTCAGTAACCCAGAGGTTCTGGAGAATACTCTGCCCAATGGTTCACTTCAATGCATATCAATAACATAATACAACATTTAAAACGGGATAAAGCAAGGGATTTAGTGAAGTAGGGAAGCATAGGGAAACAAAATACGACGAAGCTAGAATGGTCAATGCCAAAGCCACGCAACGTCCGGCCTACTGGCCTCGGCATATAGCCTACGGGTTCCAATCCAAGGAAGTGTTCCCAGAACATCGACCAAGGAACCCTCCATCCATATACACCCGAGACTTCCTAGTGTGCTCCCCTACGGATGACACACAACGACCCTAGGTCAACTGGAACTCCGTCATGGAGACCTATCCAGTGGAAGTCCGTAACGCCCGAAGGCAATTGTCTATTGGCCAAAAACTAGGTACATCTTATGTACCACTAAACATACAACAATGCATGAACATGTTATACTACATTACTAACATACACCTCCAACCACTACCCTCAATGGGCATGGGGGAGCACACACGAGGATCAAACTCTAGTACCAAGGGATTACCTGAATAATCTCCTTCGCTTGATAGCTCCCAATTACAGTATCACCAAGCTAGGTTCACCAGAAATGCCTACACATAGGCCATTTCCATTTCAATATCAACCAACCAAGATATATACAAGTTCATCAATCATACATGGATAGGTTTAAGACCACTTACCACAATCCCGGACCAAAGGCAACCAACCAAGCTCACGGTTCCGAGTTCAATTCCGCGGGAGGCAACCTACAATGATCACACAAGGATCATCAATACAAGGTGCAATCAACCAAGATTTCAAAGCACCAAAATTCTCCCCTCCCACTAGCTAGGTTCGGCCATTATAGGAAATTTTTACAAATTATTTTTCTTTAGCATCCTAAGGCTATCACAACACCATTTCAAGTCCCATTTTTCATCCTACACCATCATAACACCATTTTTCCAAT